CCATGCACATCCGCTCTGGACGTCAAGCTTGGCTCAGAGGAAAAGAATACACATACCTTAAACCCAAAATTCAAACACAGCGCAACCGCCAACCCCACACAAACCACCAACGGCCCCGTAACAGCATCGAAATCCTTCCCACTCCTCTCCCTAATAAGCCTTGCCCTATAAATATACATCGCATACCCCCACGCCAGCGTAAAAGCCGCAATGCACGTATACACGACCGCAAGCGCGCGAGCGATATCATTGGCCTCACCCGCCGCATTATACAAACCAAGACTCAACGAGGCGAGCAAGACACTAACATGCTGCCACTTGATAAACGTGCGTTGGTTCGCGAGCCAGACTTTGGCTTCTACACGCACGGGCCCTTGGTCTTTGATCCAGACGCCTGGGTCGCGGATGCCGGGCGGGAGTTGGATGGCGCGTTGTTGTTTGCGCGCGTATTTTGAGGTGGAGAAGGAGGGGAAGAGGGAGGCGAGACCGCTGCTGCTGCTCTTGTTGGGCTGCTTTCCGTTGGAACCACCGGCGAGGAGGAGGGTGTTTTCGTCGTCGGAATCGGGTTCTTCGTTTATGCGGGAGTTGGCTGTTGTGTCTGCTGTGTCGCGGTGCGAGCGCTGGGAGAGGTGCGATCCGATTGTGGGGAAGGGGGGTTTGGTGACGGGCATGGAGTGGGCGGCAGCGGAGGCGCTCTTGGGGACGGACGACCTTGTTGCAGCTGGTGAGCCGACGGGCGAGGCGATGGAGGCGCGGTAGCTGGGGCTTGCGCGGGCGCCGAAGAGGGAGCCGACTGCGAATTCGTCCTCGGCTGCTTTGCGCTTCTTTTCCTGTTCCTGGTCAAAGGCGGCTTCGGGTTCTTTGCGGATGTCGTTGTCGACTTCGCTGAGCCAGAAGGGGAAGGTGTTGACGTTGTCTTCGAAGAGCTTGGCGACGCCGTGGACGAACTTGGAGAAGCGGGGGGATTCTTTGACCAGGTGCGAGTGCATGAGGTCTTCGATCCATTCGTACTTCTTCAGGCCCTTGACTTTGATCTCGAGGAGGGCGTAGGGGAACTTGTGGAGCTCGCCCTTCTTGAGCGCCTTGAAGGGGAACTCCATCTGCCCGTTGTCGATGTCGCGCCTGTGCCAGTCTTCGGGGTCGCGGCAGGGTCTGTCGTCGTCGAGCGCGTCTTCGCGGATCAGGGCGAGGTTGGTGTCTAGGGAGATGCGCACGCGGTTGTCGCCGGGGATCTGGAATGCGGTGCGGGTGTAGTTGGCGCGCAGCATTGGCTGCAGCTTCTGCTCCTTGACGAAGCTCTGGATGTCTGTTACAGCCTTCTTGAAGTTGTCCACCTCCTCCTGGTTCTTGTTGGGGCGGTATTCCATCTTCTCGATGCTCTTCTCCATGTGGTACTTGTCCTCGAGGAAAGACTGTACGTATTTGGCCTTGATGGGGAAGCGGACTTCTTCGGCAGCGTTGCCGTCCTTGATGACCTTCTTCTCGAACATGATCTCGGGCTTCTCGCCAAGTTGTCCGTACCACCGGAGTCGTAGCGAAGAGGCATCAGGCTTGCCGTTGACCTTGTCCGAGTAGAGGGAGAAGTTGGGGTTGTCAAAGTAAATGGACGTGATGGTAGGGTCGCGCTGGGTGCCTTCGGCGACCTTGGACGACATGGGGTTGTAGACGAGGACAGGGAGACGGCGGAGGATGACGGTCTTGACTTCGAAGAGATTGTCCATGTGGACCCAGACTGTGTGTGTTAGCTGATGTTTGCCAATGGTGTATGGTGTGCCTACACTTGTGCGAGGTGAAGCCCTCGCCATCCGTGCTGGTTTCGCCAAAAGACAAAGCCTCCTTGGACTTGCCCTCCAGGCTCTGTCGGACGAAAGAGTACAGCGCCGACAGCCTGTACAGCAGCGGCGAGGCATCCTCGGTGTGCAGCGGGTGGCGGGCAATGCGCGCATCGATAAAGGGCCGCAGGCGGTAGGAGCTGCCGCGGATCTTATCGTGCTTCTTGGTGGCCTTGATGACGGCGGTGAAGTTGATGCGGCTGAAGCTCTCGAGCTCCTTGGTTTCCTTGGTGATGTTGTCGAGCTCGCGCAGGACTTCTTTGAGGATCTTGTCCCTCTCCTGCTGGCTGGGCTCGGGTTTCTTGGACGCATCGCCCGACGCGTCGCCGAACAAGCCCTCACCATTGCTCTCCTTCTTCTCCTTGTCGTCCTTGGCCTCTTCCTTGCCCTCCGCCTGGATTCCTATGGCCAATGGCTCCAGCTTCTTCTCGCATGCCGTCGTGCGGTCGCGCAGCTTCTGCGAAATGTCGGTGATGAAGTTGTGCACCTTCTCCAATTGCACGTTGGCCAGCTCGTCAACAAACGCGCTCTCGTCGTCGGCAGTCCAGGAATCGTCATCCTCGTTATCCTTGAGCAGCTTCTTGAGCTTGTCGTAGTCGATGTACTTGTCCTTCCAGGGCGCATACACGCTCTTGCGCAGTGTCGTGCCGAACTTCATGGCTTAGCGAGCGAGTGTAGTTGATTGCAGGAAATGGAAGCTCCAGCAGTCGCGACGCGCAGTAGCAATAGTCAGGATATAAGAATTGCCGGCGCCGGAAAGCTCTGCATGGAGGATTGGGAATGAAGCAATGCAGCTGGGTTTAGCTGGTGGGGAGCTGCGCGCAGCCAATGCCCAGGAACTTTGGGCGCACGTGTTTCGCGTCCCGCGAGCGTCATAGCTGCAGCTCCGCTTTCATCCCAGCTCTCTTCACACCAAGGATTGGCGTCATATTCACTGGAATCACTGTCCGCACTTACTTCAATTCATGCGACTCTACACAATCTCTTAATGATCCATAGGGATACACTGAGACGCTGCTCGTCAACAACTACAAAACAACATCCGCCGCCGCGAGTCATTCCCGCTAGGAAGACCCACGCATCTTCACGTCCCGACATTAGTGTCCGAGGCCCAAGTCTGGCCCTGCCTCGTCCCAACCCCAACGCTCGGTGATTCTTGCGGCGCACCTTCGCAGCTGTGAGCATGTTGCCCTGGCATATCTGAGTTGTTGACATTCGTCTTTGCTGGAGTCGTAGTTGATGGACCGTGCCTAAATGTCCAGGGTTGGTGCTGGGTTTGGTGTTCTCAGTAATCCCACAGGCCAACTCCACCACCCCATAACTCAACTCAAAACCCATACTACCTACGACAGATCTCACGATACTGTAAAACGTATAAGTCAAGAGCTCTGGATTATATCAGCTTAAACATGATAGTTCACTTGTTAAGTGCCACGTTATCAGACTGCAGTAGACTACCTAGGTGATGTCAAACCGCCGGCAGGCTACTTCAGATCTGAGATTAGTCTCAGTTGATACTCAACCTCAACTTCTATCGAGAACATCGTTATCGCGTTCCATCTAACCTTGATTTTCTTTACCTCGGCTAATTGACGCCGCGCACAACGTCGTCGCGTTCTTTGGTCGTTCCTTCTCCAGCACACCGCTCCCATCCTCTTTCATCTCATCGCATCGTCCACGAAAGCTGTTTCGCCCCGTCATCGCCCGCCATGGATCTTCCGACGTACCACGAGCGAATGAAGAGAAAACGTAAGTCTAAATCCGACGGCCTGCCTCTGCGCTACTAATCGCCGCATTAGTCGATGAGTACCTGGCTTCCGAAGCAGACCTCGACGAACGGTACCCCGACCTCCCGCGACGCCGTTTCCCTGGAATAATCAGCGAAACCCATTCCACGCCGATCCACTGTAATCGGCCACCCCATTTCGACCACGGATGCAATCGCTGTGGTCAACAGCCCTCCGCTCTTTGCCCTAGCTGCAAAGTCATAAAGTACTGTAGTCCAGATCATCAAACCGACGACTGGTCCAACCACAAAAAAGCCTGCGAATCAATCAAGAAAGCTGTAGGCGCTGTGGAAGAGGAAGATAAAGCAATCCGCGCCCATGACGGAGACGCCAACACCCCACGCAACGCCTTCCACACAGCCAAGGGAAGATTCTGGAAATACAAGGGACTAAGACCATATTTGAAAGCACGTCTGGAGCTTGTGAACGCGATACGTGAGGTAGATACCCTGATTGCCGTAGAAACGGCACTAGAGCACGCCACAGATATCCTGAGACTTGATCCCAGAGACGCCCTCTGCGTCCGCAGCATTATACTGATACTACTTCTCTGTCTCGATCTCGACAAGAGCTGCTACTAGTTTTGTAAATGGTGGCTTACTAAAGGCAATAATACGCATCACGACTGGGCAGGTGACAGACCGCTTTTGGCGCTTGATCGACTGGTTGATCTGTCCAAGACCGAAGACGCGTTTGAGCATCTCGGCGACTATGACTACACCAGGACCTTCACTGACAGAGATTTTGACTGGACTAGGTTGCAAAGTCCTGCTGATCTATCACTACTCGTCGCCATCATGCTGGTCAAGATCCGTATCCAAATAGATCTGCAGTTGTTACGGAACGACCTCCAGCCAGAAACCTATCTGCAGCGACACGTTAGCAGCGTTGTGGCCGCGAGATACCGAAGAGGCACGCCGGAAGGGTTCTACATGAGAGAGGAGATGGAACTTTTTGAAGCGCTTTGGGAACAGGTTAACATACTGTTTGGAGTGATACGCGGAGTCAACAAATACTTCTGGCCGATGTTAACGCGCTCTTACCCGCCGCAAACACGGGGTTTCAAGCGATCTGAATTTGTAGCGGGTACTGAGGCAGAAGCGATAATCACGTGTCAGAACTGCTACGCTGCTTGGCATGAGACACCGGGGGCTATAGATATCATCAAGGAAATGTGGGTTAGACGCTAATAGATCGAGACATTATACGGAACCACTAGGGGTGATTACAACGCGTGTCGCATGCATGCTATTCAATCCTTACAACTAGGCAAACTTCAAAGTGATGTATGCGTCTGGCTTAATGATGAATTTCTAGAATGCGACACGAATTGTAGCCACCTCTAGTGACATCCTTCATACAGGTACATTCATTGCACCGACTATTTCTTAAAAAGTCCTCTTCCGACCGAGCGTGAAAAGGAAATCTCACGTCCCTCCAAAATATCCTCAATGACTTCAATCGCGCCCGGTGTTTCACTCCATGCACAGTAGTATTCCGGCAAAACCTTGTGCATCTCCGTCTCCTCGCCCATACCAATGGAAATAGGGTTCATCAGTAGATGGGCCCGGGGCTCTACCACTCGAGGCCAGAAGTGCTTGTTGACTCTGTCCACAGCGTGGTATAATCGCTTGACCTGATCTTTCATCTCCTCGAACACGATCTCAACCTCTCCAATATCTCCTTCTCTTATGGCGTCGCGCAACACAATGCTGCTGGTGTTCAATTCGCCAAAGCGCTGTGGTTGAACGCTCTCGGTGAGTATGAATGTATCGATAAGCATGCGTACCTTGACCAGCGTAACCGCAACAAGATGCGACAGATCCGAGAAACTGGGCACGGCGAAGTTATCCCCACCCCCATTGCCAAAACCATCGCCAAAGTTCCTGACCCGTTCAAACACATCAACATTTTCCCACGCATCCTCCCCACTGCCCATCTCATGCGGCAGCTGCCTAACATTCTTCCAGTCGCAACTTAAGCTACTCCCCTTAGTAACCCACCACTTGCAGAAATCATAGGCCTCCTAATCCCGTCCCAGGCGCAAGAAAAACGCGGGCGTAATACTCCTCACACACATCAGATCCTGCAGATTCAACCGCATCAAACCAAGCGCGTGTTCCAGCGCAGCTTCCACCGCCGCTGTAGTATTCAATCTAGGCAGTTCTCTTAAGAGCTCGTTTCGTGAACGCATGTAGTTCCTCGTTCCGCTGTAACGCCAGAAGTCGCCGATGGCGGTTTCGAACGCGTTGGGTGGTGTATCCATATCGCCCTTGTGGGCTCGGAGGGCGGCTTCGTCTTTGTCGAGGACGAACGTGATCTTTTTGATGGATTTGCACCACACCTTGTGGGCGGGGCGGTCGGCGCGTTGGTGCTCGGGGCTGCAGTAGTGGACTACTTTGCAGGCGCTGCAGCGGCTGAGGTTGGTTTGTTGGGGACAGATGTTGCAGCCGGTGATGAGGTTCTCGGATACGTCGAACGGCATTATCATGCCGTAGTTGTTTGGATTGAATCCGGGTTGGGGGGGCTGGGCATTGGTGTCGGGTGCAGAGCGATTGCCGGCTGTTCGATCGGTGTTGCGGGCGGCGTTGTATTCTTCCATTGCTGCTCGGTCTTGGAGTCGAGGATGTCAGTATCGGAGGTGCGGCACGGGGAGATGGGGCTTACCTTCTTTCTCGCGCTGCTCGATTATATCCAGAAGACCCATCTTGCCCAATTGCTGGCGCTGCTGCTCACGTCCAGCGTCCATGTTGTGATGGCGACGAGATGCGGCGCGTTGAGGTCGTGATGGGTTGGGGTGAGATGAGATGAAATGAGACGTGAGACGGTGAGCACGAAGTCGGGGGATTTTGAAGGTCAGCCGAAGAAAACCACACTTGTATGCGAAGCGAGGGTCAGTTGAACATCAAGCGAAGGTCAGCTAAACACCACTCGGAGGTATTTTCGAGGTCAGCCGAGCTAACTGCGGAGGTCAGCCGAGCTCAGATCGAGGGTCAGGTCAACGTATCGGAGCCTGTTTCGAGGACAGCCGAGCTTCACGAACTTCATTTGCGAAGCGAGGGACAGCCGAGGTCGCCCGAGAACATGACGTTGCAATTCGAATGCTTTTGGAAAGCAATTAGAAAGTCTTTAGATTGAATATGTGGTGTTGACATGCTACGATGCTATGGGTTCACTGCCTCATGAGATGTGTGTTGGGCATGGGGGGCAAGAAGTTTTGGGTTAGCGCGGGTAAAGACTGAGTAAAGACTGAGTAAAGACTCAGTAAAATCTCAGTGAAGACTCAGTAAAGACTCGGCATTTACCGGCTTTACAACAACTTCATGTCAATTGCTGTTTTTGGACGGGAGTCGATAGGGCAGGCTCTGATGATGATGTCGTGGAGGATGAAGGCTTCAGGCATCTCTGCAGCCTACTTCAGATCAAGTCTTGGCAAGGTTGAGTATAAGGTTGAGTATAAGGTTGAGGATAAGGTTGAGAATAAGAGCGTGGCAGATAGCATAGCGAGCATGAACAGTGCTGCTTTATGCATATATGCGAGACTACATTCGAGCTCAAATCCATGGAGCCGGAAGTTTGATTTTCGGCGAACAATTTGGATTGGTTCTGAATCGATTCCAACGTATTCCCAATATGTTGGCAACATGTTACGGTGCACCGTGCGCCGTGGTGTCGTGAGATTTGGCGACAAAGCACCCCCAACACGCGCTTACCGATAGAGCTTGGTGATTCTTGCGGCGTCGCTTTATAGCTATTAAAATGGGGACAGTATACGTCTGTCGTTGATATTTGTCCCTGCGACCATCCGTGTTGATGAACGTGGCCTTGCTTTCTTGGCGCATTGGTGCAACGAGCCTCTGTCACCCTGAAGTCGACGATGATCGACAGGAAGAAGTTGATGTATTGATGTATTGCGAGCTAGGTACATTAGAAGAAATACCTCCGAGCAGACAAGACCTATCCATGGATGATGATGGAAAAGTTGAAGCGACTTCGCGCCACCGGGTATGCTATGTATACATGGTGCATAACGCATGGGAATGGCGACAGATAAGAAAGAGTGATTTGTGCTGCATGTTATCCACCGTTGTAGCGATGTCGCATTGTAGAGTTACATATAGTGAGCAGGAAGGTAAATTGACCCGTTTTGTTCGAACCGCGCTTCCGAGCTATTCATAACCATGTTGGTTTCTCGCCATGGAAAGTGAAACCGCCAGGTGATGTTGTACGGAAAGAATGGGGGTTTCAATTGCCAAATAAGACGTGTACCGCATTTGCGAGTGCTGCGGTGTTGTAGTCGTTGACAGTGACAAGTGCGGGAAATTCGTATGCCGTGTTGACATAGGATTGGCCCATAGCGCCATCATCGATGAGAATTAGGATCACTGGAAGTCCTGATATAGTATCGCTTTTTGGAATCTTCTTCGAGATGCTCCGTGCGAACTTTAATTGCCGCTCAAAAGCCTGAGCATGATTGCTAATGACATTCGATGTGGCGCAGATGACGATGATGACTGCTCCACTAGTTGGCAGGAAATCGGCATGCATCTCTGTCATGCCAGAGTCGAGACGGTATGGGACGTGTCGTACTTGTCTTGGTAAGGCGCGACCGAGAGGCTCGAAAGGGTCCATGTCTTTCGCCAGTGTCGTCGATGGCGGATGGGGCACGAATGGAGTGAAGAGTGTGATTATCTCTGCTTCGTTCAGGCGGCGCAGTCGTTCAAGAGTTCGTGTTGGACATCGTACAATCTTGGCGGTGCCGGAAGATGGATCATGCGTCGCGGTCGACCTGCTAGATGCTGAAGTCATCTTGGGTCGATGTGTGTTGCTCTTTGAAGACGGTTGACTCTTTCGTTCGCCCATCACTACGCGGCTGCGGATGTTACTATGGTGACGGTAAAGAAGCACCAAAAGGTCCTAGGTGAGCCAGCCGAGAGGAAGATTTGAGATTTGTTTGGGCATCGTTTGCAGAAGCGCAGCTCTTATATTTCGATCGCCTAGACTCAACTTTGCATAAGTCGACTCTTGCTTTTGCAGGGAGGAACACCGCCAGACCACTGTGCCGGTTGACGTTGCAAGCCGAAGCCAGCCGGCAACGGGCGTAAGATGTTATGCTGAAAGGCAAGGTAGACGGTCCCGGCTATGGGACTCAGGAGTACAAAAAGCAGCTATGCAAGGTTGGCTGTAGCCACCCCAGGAATCGTCAAATGAGGTGCTGATGTCGAGTGCTTGTGGATCGCTAAGTGGACCGTGACCTTGTTAATAGTTGCTGAGGCTCCCTTCACCCTGTTCGATTATCATCAAGCTCCTGAAGATGTATGTCAATACGAGAGATAGTAATACTTGGGGTGGTACCAGATAAAGAACGAAGAAAGTAGTACATGACCGCGGCCAGGCACTCTCCGGTGCAGATAAAGAAGTGCTTCCACTATTGTAGTGGGCGGAGATCTTACCGATTGGATGACGTTTTCCCGTTCGTAGCCATGACTGACACGACAGAAGCGTTGCCGTAGCGTGCTCGCGCATGTCAGTAAGGAGCACGACGGGCGTATAAGTGCACGGCGACGGTTGCATCGGGTAGCAGCAGGATCGTGTATCGAGAATAGATGACGCCCCATCCAATCGCAGATCCAAGGCTCCACATTGATCACCTTGTAGGCCTTGGGATGCGCGTGTCAGCCTACTGTAGATGAAGGGCAGTCCTAGAGGCCCATCGGCCGTCCTGATGGAGAATGACGATCCAAGGAAAGCCGGCCACTCATTCCAAAGCAAGGACCAACAGCCAGGTCGATAATGAAGGTCGATACCCGACGCGTGCTTGTCATAGCGGGCAAGGCGTACAACGCGCGGGGGTCAGTACAATTCGAGTCAAGGTTGCAGGAGGCGTGCTTGGGTTGATGGCTGACCCGCAAGGCCACCATTCATAGCGGTCCAGTAGCAGTTGCGCAAGCCGCAATCATTACATTTCGATGCTTGCTGTGTAACACAAAGGGTTGACCTCGATGTGGCGATGGCGAGAGCTGCGATGCATGCTCCAGTGATGACACGGCCATGCGGGTGACATCTGCACGATTGATTGAATCAAGCACGAGTAGCGTGAACGAGCCGCGGATGGCCAGACCGGCAGCCGCGATGCTGTGTGCCCACACATGAATATTGGCGATGATATCGAGGCTGGTGATGTATTGATGGCATAGCTGAAGCAACCTGGTGCGAGCAGAGTGAACCGTGGACCTCGGGAAAGGGTGTGTCGACCGCGATGTGTTAGCGGGGCTGCTCGCTTGTTCGTAGCCGCTCGAAACGGGGAAGGCGCGATCAGGCTGTCAACAACCACCACCGCGACGCGTCTGAACCATCAACGGCTCATACAACAACGGCTGACAACTGTCTTACTGTATGCACGTTGCACTGGTAGCGTGATGCCATCGGTCGCTGGTAACCCCACATCGACTTCGCTCCAAGCCAGCTACTGATGGACGCAGCAGAAGAGCGGCCCACGCTGCAGGAGACGCTAAACTTACTGCATCAAGGTAGGTGTCGATATGCGGCAACGAGCCCGGTCAGGATCAGTGCTTACACCGGCCTGCAGCATCTAGAACAACAGCAAAGCAACGGACCGTCAAGGTCTCCAGCATAGTCGATGTCATCTGCCGTTACGCCTCGGAGGATGGCCTTGACCAGGATGCTCTGCGAGACATAGTGCAGCTCGCGTCGGTGAAGACCCTGCTAGACCAAACCACCATCACGACTTTGATCAAAAACTTGTACCCGTCTCAAAAGGTTCCAGGCGATGTTGTTGTTACCATTGTTGGTGCGCTTGGGCAGGGTAAGGGCAAGCCTTCACCCGGTACACAAGACAGTCTTGTGAAATGGCTCATCGCAATCCATGAGGTCGTGGAGGATTTGAGCGTCTTGTCCCGACTATATGGTGTGCTGTTTGGCATGCTCGACATGATCAGTATCAGGTGTGTTACTTCGGCCTGTCACCAAGAATATAAGTGCTAAATTTAGCAGGACATCTTTGTGCCATCTGCTGTCCTTGATCACCCGCAGGAAACACGTCAAACCATTCCGGATTCAACAGCTGTATGTACAGGGCTTTCAGCATCAATACGATGTAGATACCGATAACTGATCTTACTCCAGGCTAGAGCTGTCTCGCGGCCTCGGCAACGAGCCTGCGCTCCAAGGTCTCCTCCGTGTCTACAAGGATTACTATCCCGATATAATACTCGGAAGCACTTCCACAAGCCGAAAGTCGTTCGCTCCGGTGAGTATCCGTCTCTCGTACCACCACAAATGCAACCTCAGATCCCCCACGCTACTTCCCCGCGTCTCGTTGTCACACTGCTGGATGCACGCTAACTTGATAGCGACCTGATGCCGAATGGCAAGCCAGGATCGTTGCCATCCAAGAAGCTAGTGTGACGGAAGACGACTCGAATGTAGACGGGCAGAACGGTTTCAAGGTGCTACGAAGAAGGCTCAGAGGCAGCAAAGGATCGGCGATTCCGGACGTGCATACCTACCATGCGACCGAGGTGGGCAAATATCGCTGTTCATCATCTCGGAGGTGCTAACAGTGTGTGACAGAGCTCAGCAACCCTTGAGGGTATCGATAGTGTGGACGATTTTGTGGAAAGGCTCGATAGAATAGAGCCGCCGGGCCAGCTGATAGCGCTCCTCGTTGACCCGTTGCTCCAGAAGTACGTTGATCTTAAGCCATCACCAATAACAGCAGGTCGATTAGGGAATTGGCTTGCCACGTGCCTAGAAGAGCAGTTCGAGGAGCACCGGCGAGGCACTGGAAACGAGCAGTACCTATCTGAGATTCTCGATGGGCTTTTGAGGTACGCTCAGTACATGAAGGTAAGTGCATTAGCAGGTTCACGTGCAGCTGGCTAATTGATCAAAGTCACTACATCCCACGGTACTGGCGTTTCTTCGCGAGTACCTACCGATATGGGACGGTCAGCACGACCTTGACTCTTTATTGGGACTCGTCTCCTATGTTCCGATTGAAGTGTTCGAAGACGCCCATACGACCTATCTATCTTCTGTCGAACGAGCTCTAGCACCCCATGGCATCACCGCATATGCGAAGCTCGTCGACTTCTACACGGATTTACTGCAGCACCAAATGACACAAACAGCATCTGGACCTGCCGACCAAAGAGATACTCAACAGGAAGTCCTAAGCGACCTAATCGAGCATGTAGCCACCTTGTTCACTTCGGCCCTCGTCTCCATCCCCCCAGGTTCCAGCACGACCCTCACATCATCCATCCTCTCGTTCTACGAACTCCTCAGCACCTCCTCGAAACCACACATCATCCCAATACATCTGCCACCGATGCATCTCGTCTACCTCCTCTCCCAGGACGCTTCCCCAACAACACTTGCCCGCATCTGCGGCATCATCGGCTCCTACAAGCTAGCTTTCGATGCGCATCCCAAGCCGGTCAAAACATACTACCCCGCGGAAGTTACCGATGCATTCAATTGGTGTCTGCGCGACATGTACAATCTCGTGTGGGTGTCTCGTGGCCTTCTCGTTCAAGATAAGAAGAGCAAGGGGTTGTATTGCGATACGATACTGCGGGGTACACTTAACGAGTATCTACGGAGAGTCGATCGTGGATACACTATTGGGGCTGCTTTTACGTTGTCGTATAATGCGTGGTTGGCTTCGCTGTCTGCTGCGGCGTGGCGCGCGGTCGAGAAGAGGGAGGTTGGGAAAGCGGGTGAGCAGAATGTCACACGGTATCACGACGGGCTTGTTACAGAGAAGAGTCTGGAGGTACTCAAGAGTAAAGGTGGTGTGGATGTGGATTGGGAGGGTGCAAACGGGTACAAGGTCATGGTGCTGCAATGGCTCACTGAGAGGGGCTTGGGTGGGATTAGGGATCTGATGTTCGCTACCGTCATCAACTTGAAGGGTACTGCCTAATACACCAAACATATAGACCCAAGAGGTTAAAGGGGTTGTAAGTATTAGCCTAGTACTCGGTCTGATGTCCATGGTGCCTCAATGTCCAAACTCGGAACACCACGACACGCGTAGCGCCAACAAAATTTTGAACATACCCCAAGCATATCCTGAACCCCTTGTAATCGTGGTTCTGCTTATTTCGGCCAATTGTTGTCGCGCATGCGACTTCGTTTTTCTCGATCGACCGCTATTATTTTAGCAACACCACCGTCTTTCATTTCAACGCATCTCATCCGCATCAGCACTTCAACACTCGCGATACTTGGTTTGATTACCTTTGAGAACGAGCCCAAATGGACGAACACAACACAGCTCAGAAACCACGCAAACGAAAAGCCTCCAACCCCGATCCAGCGCCGCCGCGCACGCACCACGTGATCGAACACTACGCGCCATTGCCCTACAAGAAATCCTACGGTCTCATGGGACGATGCAGAAACTGTTTCGAAAAGGAGAATCTCATCCTATGCAGCGGCTGCAATGTTATGTTTTACTGCAGCTCCGATCATCAAGCCCTCGACAAGGCAGAACACCAGACATTGTGCGACAGAATCCAAAAACTTCACATACTCATTCGTAATTCCGAAGCTGCGCTGAAACGGGATTCGGAAGATGCGGGTACGCCTAAAGACCCGTTTAGGACTGCGGGTGGCAGGTTTTGGGAGTATGAAGCGACGAGGGAGTATTTGTACCGGAGGAGGGATCTGCTGTATGAGCTTTATAGTGTGAATACCACAGCAGCGGTCCAGCAAGCATTAGACGAAGCATTTGCCCTGTTACGACTGGATTCTGCGGATCATCTACAAATGCGTTGCCTCGTACCCTGGCTGCTCCTCCGCCTAAAACGCGACCAAGACTGTTATGACTTCTGCAAATGGTGGGTTGTCAAAGGGAACGACGAAGAACACGACTGGACATCCGAACATCTACCTCTTATCGGCGAAGACGCGTTCGAATCGGCTGAAGTCTTCGAGCGACTCAGAGAACCCGGATCCACGGCTCCTGCATCCGAGTCGTTCACGTTCCTCCTCGCCACCTTACTAGTCAAACTCCGCATGGTCTACGAGATGAAATTCCTAAATCACGGTAAAACCTCCACCGAGGTGAAAGATAGCAAAAGCACCATCATCCTCTCCATCATCGACAGCCGCAAGAAAGAAGAATGGATACCGCTTATCCAGTCGGTGGAAGACCAGGTCAGAACGCTATATCGCGCTGTTGCGGGAGCGAACAAACACTTTTGGCCTGCGTTCCTCAATCGAGCTGATGATGGCCTGGGGGATACACCGCCGGAGGTGGCTGGTGTGGGCGATGAAGCGGAGATGAAGATTAAGTTGAGGGAGTGTATGAATGCTTGGTTGGAGAGTCTGGGGGCTGAGGGGTTGGTTTCGGATATGGAAATGGGTATGGATCATGAGCCATGGTGGTGCTCTAATAGGGAATAGAGCCCGGCTTCCTGTGTATAACTCCTTATGACTAACTCAATGCCAAAGTGTCCGGAGTCTACTATAGCGGTACTTGAGCCACGTCACGTCACGTCACGTCACGTCACGTCACATCGCAGAGCATGCGTACACGTACAGACAAGTCGTCCGATCTCGGCGTCGAGCATAGCCGCCCATGTATCATGCAGTTGGAATGTGACATATGCTGGCAGACATGCATGATGCATATACGAAGCATGTCACAGCGCATACTGCGACGTTCACGTGAGGTGCTGGCCAGGGTCGAGATGTGTTTGCTGGATGTGACGTGCTGTGTGCATGTTCTTGGAGGGGTTACTCGAGATATATGCGATGCGTTCGCGGGGCGTAGAGAGAATGAGGTGGTGGTTTGGTATTAACATTACTGAGGTTATTGTACGTCTATAGTCGTGAGGGAATAGGTATGTAGGTATGCCTGAATTGGCGAATGGAACTCCTTCCTGCGCCTTGCCTTATGCATGTGTTTGGGACTGTTGTGTGTCTGGAGGCCGGACTGTCGTCTCAAGGTAGGCGGTAGAAGACTGACCCCGTCGGGGCGCAACAAGCCGAAGACTTCATGCCCTCTCTAGACCGTCTGGTCACCAGGTTTATTCCAGTCGAAGCATTCCCCTGATATCCTAACATTCCGCACCAGACCCCATCATCTCCAGCGTATCCTTTCTAATCCATTTCGTGCGTATCCCTATAACTCCATCATCCCCCGCCCATTGTTCATAGCACCCGCACCCGCACCCAGCGGCCCATTCGGCGTGACTCCTGTATCGATACCCCCGGTTTTAGGCACCGAGTTACTCGAAAGCGAATCGTGGTTGCCGGATAGGTAGTAGAACATGCGGTTTGCGATGATCGTTAAATGCTCGGGAAGGTACAGCGATGCAGCGATTATGAGGAGGGAGAGGAGGAGGAAGAGTACGGAGTCTGTAGAGATAGTTCATTAGTAACTGTTGCAAGTGGGACGAAGGTCGGTGTAGGGAGGAGAGGAGAGCGACGTGCAAAGGGGCGGTGGCTCGTCTCCAAGAATCGAGTTGAGAATGCGATTTGAGGCTGTAGGATAGGGTATTTGGGACGTACTGAAGATGAACTTCTCAGTCGACGTCAACATGTACAGCGAGAACGTGACTTCATATTGATAGCGCTTGCGCTGGAACCAGCGGAGGAGGGCGGATGGGTACAGCATTGCGGCGATGAGGAGCGTGGATGCGCTGGCTAGGAGGAGGATGGCGGATAGCGTCGTCGTGTCAATCATAGACCTTTTCGGTATGTGTCGTCGTGTTTGCGCGTGTGAAAAGGCGTGTATAGAGGCGCAAATGTCAGGAGCGGTAGATGACGGGGGAGATGAAGGGTTCAGGGACGCGGATTCGGAGCAGGGATGGTGCGATTGCCTGATTAAGATCGGGAGCGGGTGGTCTAGCGCGTGGGCTGCATGGCATCATCAACGAACACGCGTGCGAGAAGTTTCTACACAGTACCGGCAGTACCAATGCTATCGCGATGCTTCCGCCGTACTATCCTCTCTAACACACACCCAACAATGCGCGTCCTCCCCGCCCTCCGCTTCCGCCCCAATGTCCCACGCCTCCAAACCGCTTCCCTCTCCACCTCTCCCTCCCTCCTCAATGGCAAATCACTCCCGCCCCGCACCCCCCTCCTCGACGCCGACCTAATCGAAAACTTCCTCAAAGGCTCCGGTCCCGGCGGCCAGAAAATCAACAAAACCTCCTCCGCCGTCCAGCTCAAACATATACCTACTGGTATCGTAGTCAAGTACCAGGATACGCGGTCAAGAGAGATAAATCGGAAGATGGCGAGGCGGATTCTGCAGGAAAGGATTGAGGAGATGGAGTTGGGGGAGGGGGCGCGGACGAAGGTCAAGGCGAGGGAGAAGGCGAAGAAGAAGGCGAGTAGTGGGAAGAAAGCTAGGCGGAAGTATAGGGCGTTGGCGGAGGGTAAGGAGGGCGAGGGTGAGGGCGCTGTCGAAGAACGCGATGCGGAGGTCCCGGATGGTGTAGAAGATGAGGGAAAGCTCCATGGTTTGGAGAGGAACGTAGAAGCCGATGATACGACCAGGACGCGGGGTGGTTGATGATCCCCACGGTCTACGACTTCTTTACACACTTCGCGAAGAGCATGTCGCCATGCTGCGAGTCCCAATGATGGCAAGCATATTGGTATGGAGAGGGAAAGATCCAAGCACGCTCTACATGGCCAGCCGCCGAGTCGGCCTAGATATGTCGCGATCAGACTACACGTGATAGCCGTAGGCCTTCATAACAGCGTCGCTTGCGACCGGAGGAGGGGAGAGATAGGCCACAAGAGTACCGTGAATGCATGTCCGCTGCGGACTGGCAATATTTGCGGTCTGCGCGATATCTCATGTATATGACGGGATGGTGGTTGGAGCTGTCATCATGCTCAGGGCGGCGAAGCGAACAGCGAAGTGAAAAACAGTCCCAATGACAACGACAGCCTTTCACTTTCGAATCAATGGAAAATTCTGCGAATGGAGTAGCGCAAGGGCCTCGACGCTTTCTCGACTACTTCTTCGGCTTGATTTCGTCTTTCTTATTGTCGCACATAACCTTCCTCTGGTTCAGCTTCATCCTTTGAATACGAGTTACGACTACCTCGGGCCTTGACTCGACATCTTCGACACCAGCTTCTTCAATTCATATCTCGACATGAGGTCGCTCAGCAATGTTGCGTCACGCCGCTTCGCCGGTGCCGCAACGATCCGAAAGTTCTCAAGCGCTTCCAATGCGCGTCTGACAAGGCCTGGCTGGAAAGTCAACATCGACACCCACGGTGGAGGCCCTCGGTATCGCAACTTCAGCACATCCAACAAAGCACTTGAAGGTTTCGCATACAACCCGTTCACCAAGACACTTCCGTTCAGAAAGCCACTTCCGTTCCTCAGCCCGAAGTGCCTCGGAATCAAAGACGCAGACTTCGCATGGTTCGTGGCCCTCAACGTCGCCGTCCGTACCCATAGGAACAGAGTCTACCTGTCACATCCCGACTGCACCCCGCGTCTCGTTTTGCACGACTACCAACACACCCTGCGTGTCGTCGCCGACGCCGAGTGGATTCTGCGAAAAGAACAGAGGACGCATCAATGGGCTCGGGACATTGATTCCACACTTCTGTGGGTATTATGCATGACGCACGACATCACCCACGACATGAGTGACGCATGGTATCTCTCCCCAGACGAGAAGCGGAATCAATGGCAAATCGTACGCGAGTTCACGAGGGCAGCGGGATGCCCGCCCAACATCATTTGGCAGGCGTCTTGTCTCGCTGCACGCCTCTCGGGTGCTATTCAGCTTGATGAGCAAGGGCTCACCGTGACCAACTTCTCTCACGAGCAGCCCATCCACCGCGTCTTACGTGATGCATATCACCTCCAACGACTGGGCGCTGTGGGCGTGGCTCGATATTTCTATTTCCATGGTATGGATGAAGGATACAGGGAGCCTGGGGTTGGTTTTGATGTCAGTTGTCTGCGGCATATGCACGGCGGGCAGTACGTCGAGCGGTTCACGACAGAGACCGGGGCGGAAATGGCACAGCAGCGGTATATGTGGACGACAACGAAGTTTCTGAATGGGTGGGATGCTGAGAATGATGTGGGCTCTGTTGTGACGGGGCGAGGATTCAGGTAGTGCTGGATATGTGGTGGTTCTAGTAGTATACACGGGGATGCTTGGATTACTTCTCCTTTAGAGGAGCAAGATAGTCCTGACTTTCCGAGGCAATGAATCTCTTCTCCTGACTCTTCTACTGTTTAGTCCTCTTCTTGCGCGTGAACAACCTTGCAATCTGACTCCACAATCCCACCCTCTCTTCCCTCTTCACGCCCTTCTCCCCCCTCCACATCCTCCTCTCTCTCCACCTTGTCAAACGTCCCCTTCGACATCGCTCCATGCGCCTTTAACGACCTAACGACCTCCTCTTTCCTCTCTGGCACCCTACAAGGCCCCCTCTCTATAAGATTCAGAATCGGGATGCCAACCCACCTCCCCTCATCAGCCACCTGCCTCAGCTCCTCCAGACGATATGTTACCAGCTCGACATCGCCAGCCGCCGCCGCTAACCCCGCTACATCGCCTTCAAATCCGTAATCCCAATCTCTCGTCTGCGGGAAGTGTTCTACGAAGGTTTTGAAGGTGAGCTGGCCGTACCCGACGGCGATGTCGTGCGCTACAGCAGGGACAATCCCATCACCCAAGGCCCGCTCTCCAACACCAAAGCCAAACCCAACATCACTATCATCTGTATAGAAACCTAAACCTATCCTCTAAACCGCATAGCCAAGCCCATACTAACCCATCGCAATGTTGTCAAAGCCATGCAAGGTCCGTATTCCTCGCATGCCGCATCTCCCTTACTCAGATCTCTTACTGCCAAACATAGCCAAAAATAGCATGCCGCAGGGCCGCCCAGCGTCGCTTCCAGCCGTTAGGGCCGCAACGGTAACCCACAAAGAGCTTACTGCTACCCCACCGCAATAACACGAAAGTCATGCTTTGGAAGGCCTGATGGCGCGGTGTTGCCGGAAATACGGGAGGTGTTGGTCGATTAGTATGTGTTTTGGGGGCGAGGGATGGAGATGCGCGAGGGTGGTGACAGGGGACACAGACGTCATTTCCTTATGCGGTCTGACCGGAGGTTTTGGGGATGGGATACCCCTTCCAACGCGACCGAGGCGACCGTCTTGTTCTTTACTGCGCAATCCCATTAACTTTCCCATTGTTACAGTTTTCCGCAATGCAACCCTACGCTGCACACAGCTCTCGTACGAAATTCGAGGACCCGTTGAGCGGCGAAATTGCTTTTCGTCACGAGCGCCCGCCGTTTAGGCCTCTGCGTAGTAAGCTCGTATTAGGACCGACGCGGGCACACTGTCCTAAGATCGACACCAGGGTACACTGTCGAGTGGATTCTAATGCGAAGATGAGTTTTCGTTCGTGTTGAGTGGAGCAATCATTCAATGGAAGGTCGTGTCGAGGCCGTGCGGCTGCTGCAGGTACGGGAGGATGTGCAGCGAAGGAGGCAAATGTTCTCGTATTGGTTGTGGTCTTAAGAGGTGATTTGCCCTTGTGTATAGGGCCTCACTTTACTTACTCTACAGGCCTTGGTCTTGGTCTTGGTCTTTGCTTTTCCGCTCGTTTATTAGGGTAAGCTTACCTTGTCGGTCCGATCGTTTGGTCCTTCTGATTCCGGTCGTACGGGGTATACTACGCTCTTTCCTGGTTAACTTTAACGACTGAACTTGAATTGTCTTCTTCAACGTCGCCATGAAATTTCTCGTTTCTCTTACGGCAGGTCTGCTGTCCATTGGTGTAGCATCCGCCTCGCCAGCTGCGCCGCTGAATAAGAGAGCTGCTTCCACCGACGGAAGCTGCGGAGGAGCAAAGGGATTCACTTGCAAGGGTTCTTCGTACGGCGACTGCTGCTCTCAGTATGGATGGTGCGGAAAATCCGCGGATCATTGCGGAGCTACCTGCAACTCAGCATTCGGCACATGCACTGGCAGCACGACATCAAAAGTAACTCCAGTAACGGTCAAGACTTCGTCGACACAGGCTCCACCGCCGGCGTCGACACCGACTAAGAAGGTCTCACCAGATGCGACATGTGGTGGCACAAAGGGTTACACATGTCTGGGTTTCGCTGAAGGCAACTGCTGCAGCGCGAGTGGATGGTGCGGCTCGACATCGGCATACGTGAGTACTCGCATACGCTTTGAATGACTACATACTGATTTTGGCAGTGTGGAACTGGATGCCAGGCAGGCTTCGGAAACTGCGGCAGCAACACCGGATCAGGATCTACCACCAGCAAGATTTCTTCAGCGGCACCATCGTCAACCCCATCTGGAACTGCTCTCCAATGCTTGAACGGAAAGGATGTGCCGTACAAGATGACCTCGGATGCTGAGTACTCTGAACTCTCGGAACCCTACAACCTGCGCGTTCCTTTCAAGCCAGCCGTCATTGTTCTTCCCACCACCAACCAGCACGTTCAAGATGCCGTAGTGTGCGCTGCTCAAGCTGGTCTCAAGGTTCAGGCCAAGTCCGGCGGTCACTCTTACGCAAGCTTCAGCTCCGGTGGCAAGGACGGCGCTATGCAGATCAACCTCCAGTCCTTCCAGACCATCCAACTCGACAAAAACTCTGGTATTGCGACAGTCGGAGGAGGTGTCCGCCTGGGCAATCTAGGCGACGGTATCTACACCCAAGGCAATGCTGCCGTAGCCCAGGGTACCTGCCCAGGTGTCGGTATCGGAGGCCACTACACACACGGAGGCTACGGCCACACTTCTCGCCACTGGGGATTAGCCATGGACCAAGTCGTTGGAGCCGACGTCGTCCTCGCCGATGGATCTCTCATCAAGGCCTCATCCACAGAGTCCCCCGACATCTTCTGGGCCATCAAGGGCGCAGCGGAGTCCTTCGGCGTCGTCACAAAGTTCTACCTCCAGACCCACGCCGCACCCGCCAGCATCACATACTTCGAGTTCGGCTTCACCGGCATCCACGACTCCAAGAGCGTCTGGACAAACACCTTCATGCACATCCAGGACGTCGCAAAGAACGCCTCCGTCGTCGACAACCGCGTCTCCTTCGGCGTCTACCTCGACAACTACGGCGGCTACAGCCTCAGCGGCGCCTTCTTCGGCAGCGTCTCAGACTTCAACACACAAGTCAAGCCCGAGCTGCTCCGCAGCCTGCCCAACCCCACCGCCACAGTCCAGTCCATGGCCTGGTACGACTACATGGTCAAAGTATCCGGCAAGACCAGCATCAAAGAGCCTTTAACCGGGTACGACGAGCACGAGGACTTCTTCGCCAAGTCCGTCACCGTCCCTGAATCTACCGGTCTTACTTCCAACGCTCTGGATGCGCTGTACGATTACCTACAGACAGCCGACGGGACGGAATACTACATCATCATCAACCTCTACGGCGGCCCTGGCTCCGCTATCAACAGCAAAGATACTGAATTTGCTGCCTACAGCGATAGGGATAGTCTGTGGGTGCTGCAGAACTATGGCTATGGGGGTGATTCCATGGAGTTTATTAATGGGATTAATAGTGCTATTATCGATGCGCAGCCGCAGACGTCGTTTGGCGCGTATCTCAACTATGTTGATCCTAGTTATGATGCTGCGACGGCGCATAAGCTGTATTATGGCGATGCCGTGTACAATAGGTTGGCTGCGCTGAAGCAAAAGGTTGATCCGAAGAGTGTGTTCTGGAATCCTCAGGCTATTGGTGCGTAGGAGTGGGTGGTTGATGGATGGGATAATGGGTGTTTGGGCGTTTTTGCATGGGAAGAGCTCCTCGTGTATGTTGGGTTATGTATACGTTTATGGTTGGTTTTAGTAATGGAACTATTGCAACATTTCAAAGCACGTCCATTTTCCCCTACATGGATATCTACAAATGGCATTGCCGCATCAATCCTCCGTCTTGACCACAGGCTCATCTGCTTTGACTGAATGGTCGTGAAGTTCATGGACGGTGTTAGCTTCCATCTCATATCTCAAAGGCAACACCTCAGGCACAATCGCAGGCTTGTCTTCCAGCTCCCCTCCCAATTGCTCCAACCCCTTCCCATGCGGCTGACCCATCTCCAGTATATGATTCGACGGCGCTTCGTACACATCCCCGTTAGCATCATGGCCATCTCTGTCGGGCTCATACTGTGCAGTTTCGGTAGCTGGTAATTGGTGTGACACTCTTCTCCTCTTCCTTTGAAGGCGGCGAAAGAGTAGCCAGCCAGCTGCTATCCCGAGGGCAAGTGTGGCAGGTATAGCTATGCCGAGACCGATTTTGTGGCCGAGTTGGAGGTCGTTGTGCATGTGCTGGTGGACATTTTGGTCGTGAGGGTTCGATGGATCTGCGATGGTGCTTGTTGGAGTGTTTGCGGTAGGTCCTGTTGGTGTGCTCGCTGAACCTGTACCCGATTCCGTACCCGGCGTACCGGATACTCTTGAGGCTGATGTTGAAGCTGATGCTGAAGCTACAGTTGACATTCCTTCTGGTGTCCAAAACGACCGCGTCGACGTAGTAGTCGAACCCACCGCCTCAGACTCCGCACCACTCCCCGCAATAAAACCATCCACAATATTAAAATACTGACTAGTATCCGAATCCCCATCGACCGAAAAAACACTAAGAAAGAACAGCGTCGACTCCTCCAGCCTCGCATTCGTCTTGACATTCCACAGGTAACTCGTTCTATTCACGATACTCGCTGGTGTTCACATGTTAGCTTTTCTTTTGTTAAATAAGCTTGGAAGCCACGGAACAGAGCGGCCCTTCATACGCATGATGAACTTACGCATGATGAACTCGCCGTCGCCGGTCTGGTCCTGGCCGAGTGTTTTGACTTGGTGCAAGACTAGGTCGTAGGGCCCTGTTTCGTCGCCGGGATACCATTGGATGTTTATGGTGTAGTCTTGCTTGTAGGTAGGGGGGTTGCTTAGGCCGCCGTCTGTGCCGTGGGTTGGGGGGTTGATGAATTGGATGCCGAGACTGGATACAAGTGGGGATAGTATGGCTAGCAAGGCGTATGCTGTTAGCATAGTCATGACGAACTGGACTTTCTCCAGAGAGTAGACAATTGCGAGACTAATGATTGCGTAGCAGCAATCGAGTGGAACGAGTGATGGTAAACAGCGAGTGACAAGGAATACACGCTGAAAAAGACTTGAAGCTGGCAACCGGGCGAAGCAATCGCATGTGGTCTCATGGCTCAGACTCCGCTCCTCTCATTCCTCTTGTTCCAGCAGCGAGAGGCGTAGGGTGCAACAGCGCCTTGCCACGATGCGCCCCTCGTGCTGAAACTTCTTTGTACTCATCGGTTTTGGGTGTCAGCCCAGGGTCGACTTGATGCAGCCGCCATGATAACTGAAGCAAGCCATAAAACACTGGAGCATGAATACGAGAAGTACAAGTGCACGTGTTCCGAAGCCGAGATATGTTCGCACGGGTCCAACAGTTGAAAGGGTCCCCAACATTAGCCGTGATCTTAGATCATCAACCCCAACAGACCCATGTATCAGCGCTACCGTGCCACATCAAGCGAGATGTGATAACAGAAAGCTAAGCGCCACACCCAGCGCTCCGTGAAAATAGAATGCGTGCAGCCGCCCCTAACGTCTGTTCGCTGCAGGTACCGGTCTCACTGCGGCGTTCGCCCACCATTTGTATAAGGATCGCCCCTCCGTGGCGCTTTGCGATCTCGTGCCCTCCTCTTTGTCCTTCCCCCTTTGTTGGCTTTTCCACCATGTCACTGTCGCTACCCAAAGTTTTCAATCATTACACACTGATCGCGCTATGCACATTAGCGTTGATTTACCACTTTCTTTCCATACAAGACCACTTCACTGTCCGTGCGCCGGGTACGCCCGCGATAGCGCAGCCACCGCAGAACGGCGGATTTCCTAGAAGCATTTGGTACAAGTTGGGCCCTAATGGCCTTTCTGAAGAGACGCGAGCTTGGACCGATAGCTGTGTGAATGGCAATCCTGACTACCAAGCACACTTCTTGACGGACGAGGACGGCGATGAGTACGTTCGTAAGACCTTCGCGGAATCCCGACCGGATATCGTCGACGCCTACCTCGCGTTACCCGTCCCGATCTACAAAGCCGACATGCTGCGCTATGTTTTGCTTTGGAACGAAGGCGGAATCTGGTCTGACCTAGACGTCTCCTGCGAAGAAGGCGTATCCATGGACGAATGGGTGCCATCCGAATACCAAGGAATCGCTTCGCTAGTAGTAGGCTGGGAGTTCGATCAAGGCTGGCCCGGCGAATACGTCCGCGAATTCGCCAGCTGGACGATAATGGCCAAACCGCGATCGCCACACATGATGCAGGTCATCGAGGATATCCTTCAGACACTGCGAGATAAGACGGCGGAGCACAACATTCCGATCCAGAACGCGACAATGGATATCATGGGGGATGTTGTTGATTTTACTGGGCCCCGGCGCTTGACGCGCAGTGTGTATGCGAGTTTGGGGAAGATACTGGATAGGGAGATTGATGCGCGCGATATGATGGAGCTTGTGCAGCCGAAGCTGGTGGGCGATGTCTTGGTTATGCCGGGTCGGTCGTTTGCGGCGTCGGCGAATACGTATAAACCGGAAGAAGAAGCACTCTTGCCGCCGAAACTGGTTACGCATCATTATGCGGGGACTTGGAAGAACGACAATGGGGGCGAGCAATAGAAGAAGAACAATTTGGAAGTCTTTGGAAGAACACCAGAAACGCATCAATGAGCATGGTCGTGGAGTGATGGAGACGCTTCCGTTACGCTGCCTGATCATGAGATATTCGTCATCGTCGATTTGTTACATACTTTCCCGGGGTTCCACCGCCGTCTCCAACACCGGTATCGTATTCAAACAGCAGGCTTGGCAAAATACTCGACCGTATCGGCCGCGTTGATGAATATCCTCACTCTCGCTGTTACAAGTCCTCCCGCGCGTGATCGAGGCACGACTGGGCTGACCTATCCGTACCGAGTAATCGTCCGAGTCCTCTTACTATATCTCTTGTTCCTTTTCTTTCGCCCACAACATGGTCTTGTCTTTAGACATGGACATGCATTAAAGGATGAACGCCACGACCATTGCATTCCAATTTGTTCCCCCCATTAAACCGACGAATCGCGAGCTCTAGACCTGGACCTTTATAGCAAGAAAAGACGAAAACTTCTTCCTTGTCCAGATTTGCGTAGATCTCTACACCAGCCATCAGTGGGTACCACGTACCTCCGTCAACCTTGGCAGCTTCGTAGCGGGCTTCACGGTTGACGAAGAAGAGCGAAGGGTAGCCACGGAACGTATATGCGATAATCTCTCCTTTCTCCTCATGGATGTTCACTTGATTTTCGAGATCGATATGGGCGATGCCGAGGTCTTCTATCTGGTCGTGTACCGCGATAGCCCATACTCTGGCGCGGAGTTCTGCAGGCAGGCGGGAGAAGGGGTGGAAGGTCCGTGTAGCGGGTGTGTGCGACCATTCGGAAGCCCGAGGGAACCGTTCTAGCTGCACTTCACATTCGTCATACGAATCGCTCTCATCGCCGTTCTGTGTCGCCATGGTGTTGGCGAAAATGTATTGGTGGGAAGACGAGACGGTAAGACTACCTAATTTGTCCACGGTTGAGGCACTTGTTGGCTGATTGAGAGCGAAGGAAGTCGGATAAGAAGGGTTGTAGAAAGTGCAGAAAATGCGAAAGCTTCGTAGCAATATAATCTACCCAACGGCCAAGGCAGATGCTCTTGCTGGGTATTGACGTGTTGCCAAGCCTTACCCATTCACCAGAGGTAGTGAATCCGCTTGCTTCGGTTTCCAGTTGGAGGTGTAGCTCTCTACGTCCGCCATCGAGGTCAATGTTTCAAGGAGCTCAGGGCCTAAGAAAGTGAGAAAGCGATATTGCAAATGAGCAAGAAATGGCGGCGATGGAATGGTCGTGAAATACTGGACACAAGCAGGATATTCATGAAGCTTGTATACCCTTACGATCAATTTCTAGAGGTGTTAATAAGATGTGTGGATGGGAAATACTGGGACAAGAAAAGCCTTCGACTTCCTCTCACACCCGCCAGTGAGTCTCGTGAAGGGTCCCGCGATACCAGAGCAATTCGCAGTGGTACCGCGCAGACCGCTCTCCATCGAGCAGGCACCAAACCAGGCAAAAAGCACAGAAAATCGTGCATCTCAACCGTGAAGTGAAGAAACGGTGGTGTCCTCCCCCCCAACCCTGCTGACAGTCCCACCCGCAAAATCCCGGCGCTCCTGATTCGTCCATCCTTTTCCCAGCGCCGCCAAGCCCAGCATTCCCGCGTTTCTCTGCCGCAACAACCTCACCAGACATCACGCCAGACATCACCCTTCCACCCGCGTTTAAACCCCAACGAACTCGCCAAAGATGTCTGTCTCATCCTTCGGCCACCACGGCAAGACGCCCGCTGCTGTCGTAAGTTGTACCCGGAGCAATTGGAGGCGGAAGGTGGTTTGGGTTTGGCGATGACGAAAGAAGGAAGAAGCTAATGAGTTGTGACAGAGCATGCGCAGCCCGTACAAGGCTTACAGGAGTCCTTTCGGTCCTCAGTATGTATTTTCCGATATCGACGAGGCTGTGGGAGGGGTGGTGGGAGGGTTGGGGGTTGTTGGGAAGAGGAGGATGGGTTGCGACGCTGTGATAAGCGGCGGTATGGGCAATTGAATACCACGCACACGACCGAATCACACACGGAAAAGAGGAGGAACAATCCAATCCACACCGCGCCGCCGCCTATACCATCCACGCCCATCGCAACCTCGAAGCTCCAGACGCTAACAAACAGCCACAGATACACCATCCCCAAGAACTACCACGGCCTTACCCTCAAGCAAGCCGCGAAATAGTACGTCTCCCTCCTCCTCCCCCCTCTCCACCAGATGCATAAACTAACACCCCCACAGCGGTGGCCTCGCCGCCGGCTTCGGTGGTGTAGCCGGCTTCTTCGCCCTCTTCTTCTTCGCCGAGGTCCCCAAGGTGCGCGACGACATCATGAAGAAGATTCCTATCCTGGACAAGTTCTTCACGGTTGAAATACCGCCTGAGGATAACCCTTTCTGAGCGTTCAGCGCATGGACTGGAGTGTATAATAGGGGGACAATTGGCATTGCAGACAGGGAAATAGACCGCTTTTGTCTTTGTTGATAAATCGCATATTGCTCGGGGTGACTGTTGTGATGATGTGGCGTACTTATGGCTTGATCATGTTGAAGGCTTGATCAGTGCTTTATCGTATCTTGATGCACGACCTGCTCAATTGCTAGACGTCACCACAAGCTCGTTGATGCCGTATGATAATTGGCCATTCAGAGCTCCAAGATATTTGGTCATTGCTTCATTTTCGCGTGACTCTTACATCCATTAAGATGCTATCATATGCCATCCCATACACCACTTTCCGCTAGCCATCCACTCATTCCCCCACTAAACGCTTAGTTCGTCGGCAGCCTTCCAACAACCTCAGCCATCTCCTCATCAGTGTAGATCCTGAAGCCCTTGTCCTTGGTCACACTAGCCAACTGCACATTCTTGCTATCCAGCTTCTCCTCCATGACCTGCTTGAGCGTCTTGAGCGTGAGCACCTCGGCCTCGGGGAGCGTAAGCGACTTGTGGAATTCGTTCTGGAGTTCGGCCTGCGCGCCCTCGGAGCCGGAGCCGATGGCTTTGGCGTCGTAGCGGTAGAATGTGCCCGAGGGTTCGGCGTGGTAGCTGGATGGTGTTAGTTTGTGATCCCAGTTCTAGAGCTAGAGCTGGGGATGTTGTAGGAGAAGACATGATAGGAAGATGGGAAGGAGTGACATACAGACTCGGACCATCCTCATCGTAACCCGCAATCAACAACGCGACACCAAACGGCCGACTCATGATGCTCTCCTCGCCCTCAGCACCCTCACCAAACCTCAGCGCCAAATCACATATCGCCTGCGTGCAGCTCTCAACGCGAAGTGGCTCGGCGTAGTTGAAAGCGTGGTTCTGGCTCTCGACACGCGCGTGCTCGATCATGCTGCGGGCATCGGCTTGCAGTCCCGACATGGCACATCCGATGTGGCGGTCGATTTCGACAATCTTCTCTACGGAGCTGGTTTCGAGGAGCGTCGAGGTGACGCGCTTCTCTACGCCGAGGATTACGCCTTCGCCGGTTGCGACCTGTGTGTTGTTTGTGAGTTTGTGAAGATTGGCGGTGGGAGGGGTAGACGCACGCCTATTGCTGTTGAACCGAGCTTGATGGCTTCGAGCGAGTATTCGACTTGGAAGAGACGGCCTTCGGGCGAGAAGGTGCTGTGGGTTTGTGAGCGGGCGGTCTGGTAGTGGGAGGCGCGGGGTGGACGAACTTGATACCACGGTCTAGAGGTATAGTCAGTATATATTCTATTGTATGATTGTTTCAAGGAGCTTACCATATTCGCTTCGTGCTATGAACTGCTCATGTTAGTACAAGAGCTTCAGCGGGGTTCAATGAGGCGTACCATGGCGGCTGTTTGTGCGAGAGTATAGTGGAGATGTGCGGTGAGAAATCCAAGTGCGTCTCGAACAGGGAAGTCGAGGTCTGGGAAGTGTAGGCGGCGGTGAGGTGTTGCGGAGTTGTGTTGGCGACTTGGATGTTTCTCTAGCTATGGAGAGCTTCAGGCAACATGAGCCGCGCGCTAGGGCGGGATGCCAAGACTTCCATCTGATAATCAACTCCGCGTTCAGCGTTATCACTTTCTCACCACAACTAGCACCTACACCTAAGTCACAATTTTGGGCAAACCTCAGAAGGCTGACACGGGACAAGCGGTGATGAAGCTTTGCAATCGCATCCAGCGACTACCATTTATGGCAACATCGTCTGCCACCAACTCCAAAAGACTATTGAATAAGTAGCTCATCGTTACTTGTCACTGAGCAATATTGCGTCTGAGTTATCTTCAGGAAAAGGTTGTATCTCCTGGAGCGTCTTCGCATTCGAACGATCAATTCGCTACCGCTCTCTGCGCACCTTTTGGCAATACTCATGGAGTGCCACAATGGTAGTACGCAGATGCTGCTGAGCTTTAGAGTTGATGTACTCGTGGTGCTACACATGACTGAACCATGTGTATCGCAGTCCAGTCTCACCAAACTTATGCTGTCAGCTTTATTGGAGTACTCCAGGCCGTACACGCCTGAGGTTAAGATGATGGGGTATCTCAGTACCAGACGTACAGCCAGGTAAAGTCAAGTGGCTATGCTGAAACTCGGCTTAACGTCGATGCAAGTATCTGCTCATGCCAGAATCATATCGACCATAATTTCGGGGGGCTTCTCGTTGGGTACCGTGCGCGTGGCTAGATTCCCGATAGAACACGGGAATGTCTGCAAGCGACCTCACAGCCACGATATCCACCCGTTATCTCCCAGATTCGTCGATGTCGCAAAGTGCTCCGAGTGCCTGATCGATCAACCAAGCTTCCATCAACATATCGAAGCTGTGGTAGGGGTAAAGCTTAGCGTTCCAATCGTAGCATTGGCGCATGTAGCGCCGGGTCGAAACGCTTCCCAAGACACCAAACCGCTGGAGTAATTCTCCACATCTTCTACCTTTCCAACATCAACTTCGCTTCTTTGCCTGAACTGCAAATTCTTGCCTCCCGCATCCGCGGATCAGAAGCCGGTGATGCGCGTCATAGCTCGGATCGAAAGTGCCTGGCGTCGGCACCGTTTCTCCTGAGTTCGGACCAGCAGCGCTATCCACGTCACCATATTCTGGAATCTCGGCCTGCGGCCATGATGGATGGTGCATCCGGTCCTGTCAACAACGAGCTCATAACCACGGTAGTGCGCAACGCCAACGGATGACACGAGGACATGTGTCTACCATACAGTCGCATGAGGGTGTCGCACTCGTGTTAATGAACAAACTATTGACCTGAAAAGCCACACAGTTGCCGGCGATTTTCGATAAATCCGCGTGTGCCATGTTGCACGCACATCATGAGATGTGCAGCTCATCTCCCGCGGCGGGGATGATGTCGATGCTGGGTTATTTTTATCCGGATACGACCCTATACCGGGGCTTGACGTCGCTGTCTGGCCGTTGAGTATTGCTTCTCCACATGGGCCAATGATTAGCGAGGACGGGGCGAAAGGGTCGTTCCCTGTCTTGCCGCATCGGGCCTTCTAGAATGCTTGGTGAGCTTCAACAGTCGACGACTGCGATGAAAGCAGCAACGAACGAAGGATGCGAATGTTGGGGATGGTATGAACAGGCTGTTGTTGAAGACCATGAAGAGCCTGCATGCTAAGATTGCTTGACCAGGCTTTAGGGTTGGGATCACCGCCGGCATCCGCGTTCCTGCGTGCCTGCTCGTTCGAGAAGGCACTAATTAGCTGTGACCGTGCGGCTAATGCACGTCCGATGAATAGCCTTCAGACGGCAGCGACGTCTAGATCCAGCAAAACGTCACCGGCGAATAAATACTTCGCTGCGTCCTCCTCGTCATTCCTCGCCCACGCCGCCCTCTCGCACCCTTCTCACTTCTCAAGACTTCATTCTACGTTTTTAATATCGTCTTCTTCCTCCTAATACCAACATCATGCGCGTCTCCTCCACCATCCTCGCCGCTGCAGGCCTCTTGACCTCGGCCAACGCTGCCATCAAGGGCTTCAACTACGGCGCCAACTTCAACAACAACCAGGCCAAGGTGCAGGCCGACTTTGAATATGAATTCAACGCCGCCAAGCAGCTTCCTGGCACCAATGGATGGACCAGCGCCCGTCTGTACACCATGATCCAGCACGGCACCCAGACCGACGTCATTGAAGCCATCCAGGCTGCTATCAACACCAAGACCGGTCTCCTCCTCGGCATGTGGGCCTCCGCCGGTCAGGCCAACTTCAACAACGAGATTACTGCTCTCAAGGCCGCCATTGCTCGGTACGGCACTGCCTTCACTGACCTCGTTGAGGGTATCTCCGTTGGCAGTGAGGATCTCTACCGTGTCACCCCCACTGGTATCGAGAACAAGTCCGGCGCCGGTGCTCAGCCCCAAGAGCTCGTCAACTACATCAAGCAGACCCGTGATGCCATCCGCGGCACTCCCCTCCAGGGCAAGCCCATCGGCCACGTCGACACCTGGACCGTCTATGTCAACGCTACCAATAACCCCGTCATTGAGGCCGTTGACTTCATCGGCATGGACGCCTACCCCTACTTCCAGACCACCATGAACAACAACGTCGGATCCGGCAGCCAGCTCTTCTTCGACGCCTACCACCAGACTGTTGCCGCTGCCAAGGGCAAGCCCGTCTGGGTTACCGAGACTGGATGGCCCGTTAGCGGCGAGACACTCAACCAGGGTAAGCCCAGTGCGGATAATGCCCGCATCTACTGGGAGGACGTTACCTGCCAGCTCGTCAAGGACAACGTCAACCTGTGGTACTACATCCTCCAGGATGTCCAGTACGGCAACCCGGTCCCCTCGTTCGGCATCAAGCCTGCGGGCGACCTGATGCAGGTGAAGCCTTTGTTCGATCTTTCTTGCCCTGCAGGTTCCGCACCCAGCAACCCGTCCAAGAAGGTCTCCACCGATGGTACTTGTGGATCTCAGGGAGGTGCTACTTGCGCTGGCTCGCCATTCGGTAACTGCTGCTCGCAGTACGGATGGTGCGGAAACACTGCCGGACACTGCGGTACCGGTTGCCAGAGCGGATCGGGCACTTGCACCAAGGTAAGCTAGTACCTTCCAATGCTCCTCTTGTCACCTATCCTGTCGTCGATCCTGTATACTTTGTCTGCGCTCTTGTCTGTTTCTTGCAATTGCCCTTGTTCCGTTTCCGCCCCGTACGGGGTTGCACGGACTAATGGCCATTGGAAGGAGTCTTCGAGCAGCAGCAGTATTGGGATGCCAACGGGTATTGGGTCGACGAGTAAGAGGGCTGAGGAATTCTTAAACCAGACGGTCAGAAGCTAACATCCCTCAGTAAATGCTCCGACATCCCAGCCCACAATTGTCACCATTCCAGTAATTAGCTTTGATCGGCCGACCCCAACAGCTCAGAGTTCAGCGTCGCTTTCCGCTTCGTCTACCGGAATCGGTCTTGAGAATATCGAAGGCCTACCGCAACCAACCTTTACCTCTCTTCAAGAACCATTCGAATACCCCCATCAGCTCATCCCCATTGATAAGGCCGACCCTACCAAGGTGATTGGCAACGGATACACTGCCCAGCTATCACCTACCATATCAACCGTCTTCGTTTACGATATCCGCCCTGAGTTCGCCGGCAAGACTTGCACTTTGGCTCTACACATGCCCCCGCCCTTTCCCATTCCTGAAACAGCACCTGTTCAGATTCGTACTCCTGGCGGTATCAGCGTATCTCGCCTCGCCAACCAAGTTCCTGACACTGTTTCCATGCAGAGTGTCGGCAACTCAAGTCTCCTCGGTGCTGTACAACTCATCGAGCCTGCACATCAATACAACGTCGCTAGCTTTCCTTGCGAAGCCGGTCAACGGGTTGGGTACCAGGTGGATTCGATCAATGGGCTCGACATGAATTGGTTCCAGATGACCTACCCTGCTCTCGGGCTGTTTATGCTGGTTAGCTAGATGGGAAAGAGGTTGTATGGAGTGGTGGCAACGTGGAAGACTGGGATGTCCACTGTATTATTACGAGCCTAAAAGTCCTAGATCCTTTTAATGTAATGTATACACCGAGTATACGTATCCTGTTCATGTCGTCGTGTGATGTGCTACTAAACTGATCGTATTTAACGCATTGGTTAAGTACGATCAGTTTAGTAGCATATCACAAGGGGATATGGGCATGTGCGGAAACGGGTGTATTGCTGCTATATGACTATTGTACGCATTGCCTACGCAGTCGCGTGCCTGCATTGGAGCCGAGTTGAGGTGGTGAGATGTGGCTAACCGTGAGATATCACCGTGAGATATCACCGTGAGATATGGCTGAAGGTGAGATTTGAGATATGAGATGTGGCGCAAGGTGAGATATGCTATGTGAGATATGGCTGAAGGTGAGATATGCTATGTGAGATGTTGCGAAAGGTGCGACAAGACGTGAAACATAAGCTCCAAGATATAGCTGACTGCGATCTTCTTGTATTGAACCAAAGTCGCTTGTGGAAAGACTACTTGGGCTCCAGCGCAAGAGGCAGAAAAAGATAGCTAGCTGCGAGATAAGCTGCGAGATGAGATATTCAACGTGGCTGGCCGAAAGAATAGAGTGCGCCTTTGACTTTGACTGCTGTGTCGTCTTGTTCGGGCTGGTTATTAAGATTATACTTTAGTATACGGTTCTGTTGCGGTAGCTTTGATGAAGTGGTAGCTCACCGTGAGATATGAGATATGAGATTTGAGATGTGAGATGTGGCGGATCCGTGAGATGTGGCTGACCGTGAGATGGAATATGAGATATGAGATATGAGATCTGAGATCTGCACCGTGAGATGAGGCGCACCGTGAGATGAGGCGCACCGTGAGATGTGGCGCACCGTGAGATGTGGCGCACCGTGAGATGAAATATGAGATCTGAGATCTGAGATGATTGTATTGTCTACTTAATGACTTGAAGCTTATAGTACTTCTTTACGGATTAGATTCACGAGAAAATAGGCCCTCTGCCTACCTGCGCAGACGAGCGGCTTGGGCGATGGTTTCGGGCTTAGCGGCCTGGAGATGAGCTACGACGATGAGATGTAGGATGTGGCTGACGGTGAGATATGGTTGACGGTGAGATGTGGCTGAACGTGAGATATGGCTGAGCGTGAGATGTGGCTGAGCGTGAGATGTGGCTGAGCGTGAGATATGGCTGAGCGTGAGATATGGCTGAGCGTGAGATATGGCTGAGCGTGAGATGTGGCTGATCGTGATATGAGATATGAGATATAAGATGAGGAGATAATCTTTGCCCGACCGCAAGGTACTTAGGTATAATTTGGTCTAGTAAGAGAAAAGTACTAACGTCTTGAACCTCGCACTCGAATTACACGAGCTCAAGTTGACTATACAGAAGCTATTTACGTTCGATTTAACTTGATATCTTCAAAAGCATTCCAAAGCTAGCTACGTGCGAACCGGCGGGATGTTCTAGCAAGATGTCTTGCCGCCAGACACACTGCACGCAGCACCACCCTTGCATACCTATCCGTCCTCATCAGCATACCACTCACACTAGTACAGTAAAGTAAAGAAGAGACAAAACTCACGTTCTTGCACGCATACCACGTTTTTCCATCTGCGCAGCACCCTGTCTTGGATGGGCAGTATCCCCATTGGTTGTTGGGGTCGCTGCCTTCGGCTAGTTGGGCGTGGTTGGTGGTGAAGTGCTCGTCGTGGTCGAAACATTGCTGTGGGGTGGGGGTGTTAGTTGGGGTGTTGGAGATGATAATGGGGAGAAGGGGGAATGGGAGGGAGATGTACCCAGGCGGAAACTGAGGCCGTGGCTGTGAAGAGGAGGATGAGCGCGGAGATTTGCATTGTGACGGTATGGGAGGATTGGATTGGATGTTGATGGCTTTGGAGATGTTCAGGTGGTGGGTGGTGCTGAGAATAGAAGAGATGCGCTCTTCTTATCAACGTCGGACGAGTCAATATTAGCCATGTCTGGCTCCTACTGATCGCCTTTAGCCCTCATGTAAATGAAAAGATCAGGTAGCGAGTCCAGGTCATCACGAGGCGAGCGCAAAGACAGGAAGATGCTCAGGTCCGTGTTGTGTCTGCGGACGTGAACGTCGGGCCGGACCCCTGTTTTGAACCAACCTCCGCATGTTTGAGGCCAGCGAACTTCGAAGAAACGAAACAAGCTCATGATTTCTCCACACTTGGCATTGCGGTGAAAGCTTTTTCCCACATTTGACGACGTCTCTTTCGCTTTCGCGTGCGCATTGCTGATGTGTTGGCCGTATCCCCTCGACTTTAACTTCACCGCCGTTTCGCACGCTTCGACCGTCACTCCATCGCGACCAACATTCTGTCCGCGCAATATAAAACCTCGGAGCTTCACCCAATGGTAATCGAATGACAACTTGACAGATCGCTGCAAGCGAGGTAGTCTAGTCTGCACACAGTAGGTACGGCGTAATGCGCGGTTCAGCTCGTCGCGTGGTTCGGCGTTATGCGTGGTGCCGGCGCAATGCACGGAGCACTCATTTCACGACGTGTGTATCTGCACGAGGTGGAATTCCACCAGTAAATGCGAGTTCAGGCTGGAATTGCAGAGAGGTCGTGGTCGTGTTGCTGTCGAAAGGGCTTGCATCGCCTCATACGAGGCAGAAAATGGATAGAGTAACGGGCGTGCTGCAGCCTGCGTTGATATCTCTCTCTGAGGGAGTCCCAGAGGTTTGGAGTATCTTGTGGTGTTCACGGAAAGATATTGAAACCAGATTACGATCTCATCGCGGATGATCATTACGACCCCGTATCGATGGATTCGCTCACCTATTCTCCAAAATGTCTGCCCAGGTTCCAAAGAAAAGTGAAGAATTTGTTGTCTCGGTAGTTTTCATCGACGAATCGTCCAACAACTCGGGCGGGTGAATAGCAAGCACGGTGGACATGGCGGAATCGTTCATGGTAGTCGAGCGATACCCCAACACAATAGCCGCGCTCTGCTCCCATCGTAGACTTACGTCCTCAACGCTGTCAGTGTCACTGTGGTTATCGCTCTCGTGATCGCTCTTTTGGCCTCGATCCCTTTCCTTCTTGCGCTCTTCTTCACCTGCCTTGCTAGCATATTCCCACGCGGTACGACCACGATTGTCTTCCCACTCTGGATGGATCCCGGCAACATTTGTGAGGAAGTCCGCCGTGTCTTTGGTAAGACGACCGTTTGTGGCAGCGTAGTGAAGTATGGTCCGTCCATTATAGTCTCTCGCCGCTAGGCTGACATGGTGCATGTGAAGAACTTCCAGTATGTCTAACCTAAAGTTAGACGATGCAGCGAGCAGGTGTCCAAGGGTTCCCCCTTGTTGGTCGAGAGATGACGCAATGTAGTGGAACGCAAGGGCCGATCTCAAGATGTCCAAGTCAATTTCCCAGGAAGACTGCGTAATATAGCTTCCTATAGGTGACATTCCGGAGTCGTCAAGCTGGGCACCGTCCGCACCCTGATCAAGCAGCCAACGTATCTTCTCGCCCTGGATTCTGTCGCGATCAAAAAAGGTGTGGTGTAGCACATTTTGCCCATATGCATCCCTCGACGTTATGAGGTTGACTGCTCTTGCTTCTTCGGTGTCGAGAATGGCGATCATGGTATCTCGATTTGGACTTTGGGCTGCGTAATGGAAGGCATTGAGACCATGCATGTCATGCAATGTCACCTTCGCACCCATACTGAGCAGTGCTTTGACTGACACAAGATCGCCAGCTTTGCTAGCAAGATGTAGTGGGGTTTGCTGGCAAGAGTTACGGCACGAAAGATCCGCACCTCTGGATATCAACTTGCGAATGGAAGCCGCACTTTCCGGTTCGTTGTACCGGATGCAGTGTAACGGGGTATCCCCTTCGCGATCCCTCACAGTAAGAGAGATGTTGGGACTTGCTAGTAATGCATCGATCACATTTCCACGTGCGAGAGCGACACCAGACACATCCTGTGTAAGGGAACGACTTTCGGGACTTTGCATTGCAAGCCGATCTTCTACCCTGAGAGATCCATTGGTCCAATCATCAGCGTACGTCGTTCCAGATAGTGTCGTGCGCAAGGTAAGATGTAAAGGGGTTTCGTCGTACTCAGAAAGAGCATTAGAATCAGCGCCATGCTCAAGAAGGAACCCGACCATGGTAGCATCGCCGATCAAAGCTGCGAAGTGTAGAGGAGTCAGCCCGCTTGGACTAGTTGACGAGACTGGAGTCATAGCTTGGGTTGTAACGGGGTCTAATTTGCCAACTCTGTGTGGCCATGCTCGCCGACGAACCCTGATGTCAACCGGAACCCCGGCGTTGAGGAGTTGCGTTGCAATGGCTCTGTGGCCAAACTTTACGCAGTAATGCAACGGCGTCATATTATCGACGTCGGCCGTGTGCAAGGGAGCACCATGTTGTTGTAACATTTCAGCCATCGAGGCTGTGCATCCTGGATTGCTAACAGCATGATGCAGAGCACCCTTTAGTTGCTTGTCCAGACCAACGTAGGCACCTCTTTCGAGGAGAGTCCTGGTCGTATCTTCATGTGCGCGTCCGAGTGCAGCACGCAATGTACTGCGGTATTCTCCACCAGTCGCGTTGACGTCGGCGCCCGCGTCAATCAGCAGCTTCACTACTGACGTGTGGCCGTTGGCTGAGGCTGCCTGTAACGCGGTGCCGTACGATCCGCCCCGCGCATTGACTCTGGCCTTCTGTTCCAGCAGCATTGTGACAATTGTATCGAGGCCCAGCAGGGATCCGTAATAAAGAGGCGAGGCTATACTATCCAGCTTTTTCGACAGATTTGGTGAACTTTGGAGGTAATCTGGATTGTAAAGGCGGATCCAAGTGAGAAATCCTGCTGTCTTCGTGCTGAACAGACTCATCGCTAGTCGACTCACTTCTTCCGTCTCCTCTCCTATCTTCTGAAGATGGCGATGCCAGAACTCTGCTGAGTACCGTGCGAGCACATGATTTTCTAGGAGATGTTGAGTAATTGGATACTGGTACTGACTCAAGTACCCCAGGCAACCTTTGGCAATCGCTTCGTGACATTCGTTCTCCTGCATGCTAAAATGCTTTGCTGGCCCCTGCTTGATTCGGTCTGACACAAGATACTCCTGAACTGAGTAGTGTGCTAGAGTGATGATCCGCTGGGAAGGCCTGTTCAACCATTTCACCTCTTTTGTCGAAAGAGTGACGAGGCTAGAACATATCTCCAACGCTTCTAGTGGATCTACTAGCACCTCGTCGCGGTCGACCATTGGTTCTCGCGCCACGTCAATAGCGGCCACTTCAGCAACTTCTTCAATAGAAAGCGGCCTGGTAGAAAAGGTCAACCACTGGAATATTCTAATCGCATACACACGATCCACCTCGCGTATCGAAGCTAGGATACGGTCGTATGTCTCGTCTAGAGTCTGCGGTAATGCTGCGAGCGCCTGTCGTAACATCGCCAAATTGCGACACTTTGCTAGTGTGTCAAGCTGGCAGACAGCCCAGCGAAACCTGCACCATTGTTAATCAACTCCTCATAGATATTGTGGCGACACACATACATCCCCCGGGCTCCGTGCATCAATGCTATCTCGATCTCTTGCATAGTATCCTGGTCCTTGTTCCATTTCGCCAGGTCCTGATCATCGACCAGCCGCTGCTGAACGTATCGTAATATGTCCTTGTCCACTACATCTTTCTGAAGACTTATAATGCCTTCTCTTGTGACATGATTGCCTAAGAACGTCTCGATATCCCGTTCTCTTCGGCTGGTCATAAGCAGATGCACAATACCGAGCTGCCACCCAATCAACGTCTCCAGTATGTCTGTTAGCTCTGTGCGTTTCGTACACTCATCGAGCGCATCGAGGACGATGTAGACATGCGTGAATTGTCGGATCACCTGCGGTGCGACATTGAGAAGTGCTGACAACGATGGTTGCTGTTGTCCGTTTCCGCATGATGAAAACAACTCGTCAACTTCCTTAGGTATGGCGACCGAACACTGCAGAAGTTGACTGAGCAATGAATGAAGCATCGACTCTGGATCCTGTTTCTGTACATCTTTGAAGTCAAAGTAGAAGTATACCGTGACTTCACGAGCATCTTCATCGCAGTGCTGCAGCAAATGCTCGATAATTGTAGAGCTTAGAATCGTCTTTCCGCACCCTGGGATCCCATACAGCCACATCCGCGACGCTTTGCCCTCTTTCCATTTCTTGAACTTTGCACTTTCTAGTATCCATAGTCCTGTCCCCGCTTGTCGCTGCTTGTGAGCTTTGTGATAATTCGTGGATGGGTCGGGAGCCGAAACCCATTTGCGTATGTTCTGGAGTCTTGTTTCTCGGCCTCGTTCATCAGTCTCAGAATCGTCCATTGAGGCATCTGCGACATTCGGAGACCTTTCCCGAATGTTCCTCCTGAGTCGCCTCAACGCACTCTCTTTTCCCTCGCCATAAATTAGCGGTAGGTAGCAGTCGAGGATACCGAGAAGACAGTAGGCCCCATCTTCGTCGCGTGTGGTCTGTCGATCCCGTGCCCAAGAAAGGCGTTCGGCAACTTCGAATTTCGACATATCAGTTCCTGACAAAGCTTCGATAGGTATCGCTGTCACCTCATGGATGGTGTATTTGAGCGAGTCTTTATCTCCTAAACGTACTCCATCCTTGGAAAAGAATTCGACGGAATGCGGGGCTAGAAGCTCCTGAAGCGTCCAGCCCCGGGTAAACCATCTGCTCGTTCTGAAGGCTGCCTTCCATGTTGCGGACGGTCTCCAATCTTCCTTCGAAGCCTTCCCCTCGACATCTGCTAGAAAAGCATAGCATTTGTCAGCTTTTTGATACCAGCGAAACATAGAGTTGATCGCCTCGGATAACTCTGTGTTGTTTGCCTTGTCAATGCAGCAAGTGTCTACCCAGAAATGTTCTAGGCCATCTGACTTTGCCTGTTTTGCGCAGAAGCGAAGCTTTTTCCAACCGTCTCCTCTTGTTGCGACCGCTGCATCCACGACCTCGAGATTCTGACTACTAGTGAGGCTTTTCACATCGTCAAAGACCACCTCTTCATCCCCCCAGGTGTGCGACAGTATCGCATAAGGAGGCAGATCTTCGACGCGGATGATATCTTTCGTGAATCTGAAGTGTCCATCGCTTGTCGTATACAGTAACCGCATCGCAACGGATCTTGGACGCACGCGTACGCGCGCGAGGTGACAGTCAGAACAACAGGCTCGCGCAAGGTATGAAGATCGTATGGAGTCGTTACTTAGTATGGGTGCTAACAGCGGCCTGCTAAGTCAGTGTAGGAGTTAGGAAGGCTGACAGCCCTCAAGCTGCCACTGATCCTTGGGGCAGGCTGCATCCTCACCACCCACCCAAAGCAGGAGGCACAGCCCGCCTGCAGCATGCAGGTGACGTCCAATGAGAAAGGCGGGGCAAGGCTGAGATAACATTATCGTACGACAGCGTCATATTGCCGGACAAGAGGAATGAGAGCGCGCGGTTGAGAAGTGTGGATAGTACGATGCGCGAGCTGGTATTTCCAAGGTTACTAGTGAAGTATTCGCGTTCCTGCCCGCTGGAGAGTGCACGGAGACAGAAACTTGCCAAGGCTCGTCACGTGCCGGCAACTAGCCCTCCTGAGACCGTATCAGAACCTCTGATTCTGCGACTCTACTCCATTGCAGGCTCCAAATGTCAAGAAGATTGAAGGGCGAAGGAGGTCAAAGAACGGATCAATGAGGTGATCAGTCCACTGTAGTTCACTTGCCTATCCTAGATGGCGATACCCTGTGAGAAGGGCTTCTAGTGCACGCAACATCAGAATATCGAACATGATGAAATTGGATATTGTCAATAAACACGACTATACTCTAGCCCTTACGCTCTCAAAACACCCAAACGCCCAAACCGCCCAACAAGAAAGGCTTATGATATACGTACAGTACGATACCAGCCCAAACAGCAAGTAAAAGACACTCAGCTTACACCGAGCCTCAAGTGCCACTGAACCCAAACGCAGCGCTCATCTACGCACCACCAGCCCTCCCCGTCGTAGTAGCACTACTAGGCTGATCATTATTCCAAGTCAAATACGTATGATCCCCCAACTTGCGCGGCTTGATCAGATGCGTAGCCAAGAAGACCGCTCCGAGCAAGATACAGATACCGCCGACAACGAGGTATGCGATGCCGAGGAAGGGGTTCTTGCCGCCCATTACGGTGCGCGTGGAGATGAGGATGGATTTTGTGCCGCTGTATTTGTCGACGGGGTAGCCTGGGGGGTGTTAGTGGGGATGAAGTGGAGGAGAGGGGAGGAAGGGTAAAGGGAGGAAGGGTAAAGGGATGAAGGAAAAGGGAGGGGAGAGGAGAGGGAGAACGTACGGTCATAGATCTTAAGACGGTAAGTACCAGCAGTCAAAACGTCCTTGTCGTTGCGCTGGTACAATTTACTGAACGTAGGCAGACCCGCAGTCCTCATCCAAACCTGGAATTGCTCCCAGGTATGCAGGTTAGGCAGCTTATCGCCGTAACGGCCATTCTCGTATTGTTCCTGCCAATTCGGGGGTGGCACAACATCCTCAGGCTTGTACTTTGTCTCGCCGTAGAGATCGCCCTCGTGGCTCCACGAAGTACCTTCTACAGTCATGGTGTAGTTCTGGCCACCGGCGTTTGTGCCACCCGCGGGGTTGGCAAGCGTCAACTGGCTGAATGTGTCATTGAACATGGAGTTCGCGATCAGACCGCAGGGGTAGTACGGCTTGCCTGTCTCGGAGTCTACGTCCAGCGGCGAGCAGTCGCCCGAGCTGAGATCGCTGGCACTGCGGGCATCACCCTTGAGTTGTTGGATATCGACGGACTTGACGTAGCGGCGGTGGTTCTGGTAGAAGTTCGTGAGGCGGTAGTAGAACAGGATCGGCGGCTTAATGTCTTCCGGGATGTTGAAGCTGAGGATGCACACGTTTGTCTCTTGCTCAACGCCGGACTCGAATCTGTAGTTCTCGCGGCCCCAACCCCACATGGCCTGCGGGTCTTCCTTGGATCTGAAAGTCGCGGATACTCTGCCGCCGGGAATTGGGTCGAGCGGGTTTTCGGCGTTGGGGTCGAAGTTTACGGGGACTTCGGGCGCGGTGCTGTTGCAGTTTGTGTAGTCGATTGAGATCTCCTGGACCTGCGCGCTAGCATAGAGAAGCAGCCCGCCGATGGGGGCAAAGATAACTCCGACGATGAAGAAGAGAGGCAGAACGGTCTTCGGCGTTAAGATGGGCCTGATGCGCGGTTAGTCGTGGGTACTGCCATCTGCCGCCATAATTCCACCTACTGCCATGCCTTCAAGCGCTGCTGCCTGAACGCAGTATCTAGATCCCATCAGCATTGCCCTCCTTCGCGCATGTCGATATCAGGCTTACTCGGCGGCCTCCTGCTCTTGGTCTTCTTCGGCTCGTCGCGGCTGGGGTCCTGGCTGCTGATGGAGTCGGTATGCTCGACCTGCTGTGTGCGCGACATGATGGGCGGTTCCGCGCGACTCGGCGGAGTCGATTGGTGGAGTGAAAGGTAGTCGTCGCGGGCGGGAGGAGTGGTGGGAACGCGCGGGTTTGAGGTCGGCCAAGCCGTTGTCCCAAATTAGTGACAGAGCAGCCGCGCCACGCCTGCACGCCTGTGGAGCTTACGCATCCCCGCCCGAGACCCTGAGCCTTTCACGGACGTATCACGGACTCGTCACTGCAGCAGCATCGCAGTACGCCATCAATTCATCAACGCATATTTAAATCGTCACGTAAAGGCATTGCGGAGAACATTCAAGTTATGTGAGATAGTGCATTCTGGTCTAGTACTAAATATGATAGAAAGCCTGCATTTGCGGCGACAATGTCCACACGGGACTACAACATTCGTTGGTGGGAGCTGAGGGGTATCGCATGCCGTTAGATAAAGAAAAGGAGAGTCGAAAAGCCCAAAAACGCCATGAGGGAGGACAGTATCCACTCCCGAACACCTGTTCATGCCAACAGTAGTATCCATAAAAACCCATCGAAACGCCGTTCGTAATATCATGCGGAGGAGGACATCCATCACTCCTTGTAATCATACCAGTCTTATCCAAAGAAAGCGAGCCCAGTCGGGTGGGCCGCGAGATGCAAAGTGCAACTTGATGCATCGTAACCAAGAAGAGTAAAAAGAATGAGAAAGGCTCTGCGATGCGGGCTCAGAGGTACTGGCGGAAGTAGTCCGGGTTGAACCAGCCTACGCGGTCATATGACTGCCACAGTTTGCTAGCCTTGTTGACGTCAATCTTGCACGCCTGCTGGGCATCTGTCTTGCGGAACTCTTTGCCAATCTTGAGAGCCTCGATGCGGGCCTGGAAGATGCGTCGTTTGCTGGTGAGGTAGGTGGCGCAGTTGAGGCGGAGTGTGCCAGCGAGGTTCAACTCAGCCTCGTGCAGCAGCTCGCGATCGGGATCGTCGGCGAGCGAGAGCGCTTGTCCTTTCCACTCAGCCTTGAGCGCCTTGGTATTGCCCTTGGGCAGTGTGTCCAGGGGTGGGGCGTAGTCGGGAATGGCAGTGTAGTCAGAGTCGTCGCGGTTGGTGACTGGCCGTGCCGGCTTGGGAGAGGCTGACTTGGTGGTGGGGGAGGTGTCGAATGAGTCGTGGATCTGAGTAAGAGGCGTGCGCTTGGCCTTGGGTGCGGCACGAGGGGCGCGAGCAGGCAGCCGTGGAACAGCAACCTTGGGCTGGCGGAGTTTTGAAGACGGCGCAGGGGCGAGCTTCTTCAAGGCTGGCCGCTTCTGCACACGGCCGCTACGGACCTCGTCGATTTGCTTGTCGAAGGCGCGTTCTTGAGCCCACCATGCCTTGGGGTTGTTGCAGGCCTCTCTGAAGACAATGGAGCGGACTTTGGCAACCAATTCGTAGTCAGCGCGGCTCGGCTTGCTCTGTAGTTGTGCATAGTCGTGGGACTTCATGTGCGCGGTGATGACATCTTGCGAGGCTGACTCGGGTGACTCGTCGGGGAACAGCGGCATGTGAGCAATTGGTGCCGCTGCATCAGCCGAGACGAACAGCTGGGGATCGCGTGTGCACTGCTCCTCCGAGCTCTCCATGTTCTCCTTCTGTGCCTGCGTGTCGTATGGGGAGATTGGCGGGGAGGCGTAGGCGATGCGGTGGGCGGCTGCTGCCTGGATCGCCATGAAGTCGGTCTTCACAGCAGACTGCGAGGGTGCTGAATTGAAGGAGGAGAAGGGTGATTGAGAGTAGGCAGGCGGAATTGACGTGCCAAACGACTCTGATCGCTTCATTTCAGGGGGCGAGAGGAGGGAGGAAACGGTGAGCCGATTGCTCGGGGGCGTCTTATAGTGCAAGTTTGCCATTGCGGTGTGGTG